TTAAGCTACACAACAAGTGCTATGATTACATGTTATTCAATAATCAGTATGCCAAATTGCTGGGAAATGAAACTCAGACATGAACCAATCATGCAAGTAGTGAAAACTAAGGCATGGGAGATCTGTGTCTTTTTCTTTCTCCATAATATTCAAGTACAAGGTCAAGATTTGTGGCTACACTCTACTTCAACAATACAGTTTAGTATAGGATATTAATTAGTACCGAAACCAAATGTTTTGAAATCATTTTTGAAAGGTTATAGAGTAAATTGAACATTTTGAAAATTGAGAAAAATTTATACAGAAAGCAAAAAAATGTAAATCATCTTTTTTTTTTTCTTTCCTGAATTTAGAATACATTCTTTAAATTAAGAATATGTTAAATAAATTTTTAAAAGTATAAATTCTCGATTACATTAGTTTAAAATTGAAAAAACTTGTATGATTAAAATGATGAGATATTACTAAAACTGATAATAAGTAATTAATTTTTTTATGTATTTTTTCTTAAATTTAATGCGATAATATTCATCGGTCATCACTTTTAATGACTAAAGTGACTGGACTATAAAATGTATAACCTATAAATTATTTAAGTAAAATGTTCGAATTCATATCGTGGTAGGCCTTGGTCATATAAATATGAGTAAGTAAAAGTTGAATATGACCTCTGTAACGACCCGACTAGTCACTACACACAGCACAGCATACTAGAAACACCACATAGAATGGAACAAGTGTATATATATAAGGTCTAGAATATATACATATACAAGATCCAAGTCTAGATAGAGTTAAAGTGTACAAAATATATTAAATGCTACTACACAAGTAGCTAAAACAACAAAACATTCTAAAAGATCAGCTTTGTCTGCCAGCTGCAAACTTACCACACCAGCCACTACCCTATCCCTGTTATGCTCCCATACATAGTATAATCATCGCAGTCCAAACACCATGGAAACAACAAAGGGTAAGCTAGTGAAAATAAATCAACATACATATATAACAATATGAATGTAAACAACTACAACTATCAGCACATCAGCCAGCTTATACTACACCACAACATTCGACAATATCAGCACCGCAAGGCGGCAATATCAGCACTGCATAGCAGCAATAACAGCATCACTCTAGTGGCTATAACAGCACCGCATAGCGGCAATAACAACACCACAATAGTGGCTATAATAGCACCACAATAGTGGCTATAACAGCATACAACACAGCACAGCACAGCAATATCAGCATACAGCATTAACAGCTTACATCACAACTAATAATATTCACCACAGCTTAAACAACTCACAGCATAACACAGCACAGCAAATCAGCTTATAGCACAGCTAAGTAGTATTCCGCACAGCTTACTACTCACATCTCAGCTCAATAGTCTATAGTACAGCAATATTATAATTTAATATTAAAATCATCAATAACAACTCAGCTCAGCACGACAATCTACATCTATTACAGCTTAACATCATTATTCAGCGTTATCACCTAGTCAGCACAGCATATTCATCAATTACAACTTAGTTCGGTATAAAACAGCATCCATCAGCAATTTCAACAAAATTTAACAACTATCAGCATATAAGTTATCATCATCATACGCGTCCGGCGCACTCATAGTTGCGCTCGGCATGGTACAACCAGAGAGCACCAGGGGCCATCACGCCCGGCACAAGAGTGCTCGCGCCCGGCGTGACCCAGCTAGAGAGCCCAAGGCTCTCACGCGCCTGGCGCAATTACGAATTGCGCCCAGCGCGAACCCAGGCAGAGACTCTAAGGAGCCTCACGCGCCCGGCGTGCCCTAACCCGTGCCCAGCGCGAGGAAGGCAAAGACCTCCCAAGGTCTCGCGCCCGGCGTAAATCTGAATTGCGCCCAGCGCAACCATGGCAAAGACTCCTAAGGAATCTCACGCCTAGTGCGGCAAGGGGCGCACCCAGCGCGAAGCCAGAACAACCCAAAACATATCACAACTGATATCACGCCCGGAGCGGTCCAAGTCACGCCCGGCGAGGGCCAGTCAAAGACTCCCATTCTCAAGCTCGCCCGACGCGAACATCATTGCGCCTAGCGGGCTTGCCCAAATGGGGTCTCCTGGTGGTCACGCGCCCGACGCGAAGAACTGGGCCCAACGCGAGGCTCAGTAACAACCCTCAATTTTCAAAAAACTTCACCCAATCTTGCAAAAACAACCAGAAAACCAACATGCAATCCATCCAAAAGTCCTCATTTTCATCTAACATCAAGAAAAACACCTCATTTTCAACATGCAACTTCGAATCAAAGAAAACCCCCAAATTTCCTCAAAACCCCCGAAAACTCCAAACCCTTAATTTCATCATTCTCAGCCAAAATCATCAAACATCAACAGCTAATGAGCTCCTATAACTCATTTACGTCCAAAAACGGTGAAAAACCTAGCTTCCCTTACCTCGGTAGAAGATTCTGAGCTCCGGGAAAAAGAGAATGAAGAAGGAGGAGCTTGATCGGAGAAGAAGAACAAGCTTGGACAACAAAGGAGGAGAAAAGAGCTCCGTACACTCAGCTAGCAAAAAAAATTCGAACCTACTCCACACCACCACCTTGAGACAGCAAAATAAGAACAATGAGACCCAAGGCACAAGAGTGAGCAAGGAGAAGAACAAGATAGTGAGTGAGAGTGAACGAGAGTAAGGGTAGGAGGGTGGAATGAGAAAGAAAAGGAAAGGGCCTCACAACCTCCACAAATTTTCATTATTATTGCAAGATATATAATCAAAGTGTGTTTGATTTTATTAACAGTTCAAGTATAATTAAGTTTACATCTTTTATGATTTTAGGTTTATTCTTCTAGATAAATAAAACATTGTTAAGAGGGGACTATATTAATAATACACTACTAAAAAAATGTTATTTTCCTCCGAATTTTTCTTAAAAAAATATTTGTAGAAATTTTTTGCAAATTTTATTACAATAATAATTTCACAAAAAAAATTATGAATTTATTTGCGAAAAAAAATTTATAGATATTTCTTACAAATTTTTTTATGAAAAATAATCTAAATAAATTTTTTGCAAATTTTGCTACAATTTTAATGATCATATAATTTTTTTTTCATGGTAAAAATTTGCAGAAAATATTGTAAGAATTTTATTTTGTTTCTTAAAGATTTTATTGCAAAAATAAATTCGCAAGTTATGTTTACTAAATAGTAAAAAAATTTCGCAGGTAACTTTCCCTGTGAATTAAAATTTGTAGGAAAATTCGCAGGGAAAATCAAAAAAATATTTAAATTTATAAGTTTAATATTTAAAAAAAAAACTTCAAGTCCCATATCGATTGAAAATAAAAAAATTAAAGAGTATATAAGCTGGGGCAACACTTACTTTACAAGTTAATTGATGGAACTAGGAGAGGAGATTGTT